CCCCTCTCCCCACTCTTCATTTTTAAGGAACAAAGTAATTAATCACTTTAATTATTAAACATTAAACTTTCTAACTTGGATAATAATTGATACACATTTTGATTCAATACATTACACAACATGTTCATTAAAAAATCATTATTTTTTACTTTGAAATTAAAAATAAACAAGTTTAAAAACACAATCAAGCACATAAGGTGTATGAATTGACTAAACCAACTGTATTTATATTATATTCTTAATGATTAAACTGAAAGTGTATTAAAAAATATATTAAATCGGAAGTGTATAAATCATTTTTTTTCCAACTTACATGTACTTAATCCAAAACAATTTACTAACGTTGAATAATTAAAGGAAAAAAAGTTAAGCCAAGGCTTTCAATATATAAATGTAAGAAAATAGTACATATCTGCTTTAATTTTTAAAGATTAAGAGAAATATTATTTTAAAATTATGTTATTTCAATAAATTATTATTGATTATTGAAAAAAATAAAAATAATACATTATTTTTTAAGTATAAATTAGAGTGTTTTTTTTATATATTTTATTAAAATAATGTAATTTTAAAATATATTTTTAAAAAATTTTAAGAGATAAATAAGATATATATTACTCCATATATATATATATATATATGAGTAACTGCCTGAGAATGACAACGAAGATATTCGCCAAATGTGACTGGAGAAGAGCATTTTATCAAATTTACCAAATTACCCTTGCCTAATTATTGTTGATTGATCATTGGCTGATGTCATCAAGTGCACGCCTTTCCTTTGTTTTGAATTTCAAGTGGCATCTTATGTAACCTAACGCACCAACATGTATGAGACTGTTGTTTGGACCATTGTAATTAAGCTCGCTGGATTGGCATCTCCATTCATGGTTAATAGCGATTAGTGGTACTTAATTATCTAAAAAAACACGATTAGTGGTGGATCATAAGGTAGGCACAACCATTTTTCATGCACCAATAATGAAGGGCATTCAAGACTTTTTCATATCTCTTCGATAGGAGTCCATGGAAACATATCAACCAAGGCATAATTTGATTCAAGACTACTTGTAGACAGCACTACGAGTGGCGGAGATCATGTCATATGTATATATTCATATTAATTAACTCTTCATTATGAAAGTTGATGAGTTAATTATACTGGCAATTGTAATGCCATTAAAAAAAAAAAAAAACCCCACAATACTATTGACCACTTTTTTACATTACAATAACTTTCTCAAAACCACCATTTTTTCTAGAACCACCCCTTTATAAAAAATGACCAAAAACCCCCACCAATTTCTTTCTCTTTCTGTTAACAGCTTTAAATATACAGAAAGGGAAGAAGATAAGAGAGCAGCTACGTACTATTTGTTTTTGTTTTAGAGAATTTTCAAGCTGTTTTCATGGTTTATTTGAGTATTGAGGGGTTTGTTGACGTGGTTGGGACGCAACAGAAAAATTGTTGCATGGCCATGCAGGAGAAAGCTGCTGGTGATGTTGCTTGAGAGCCAAAATTTGACGTATCTCCGACAGCTTTTGTCGGAGCATACTGTGTTCGGAGCGGAGCCGATCGTTGTCTGTCCGTACGCGGTCAAAATGAAAGTAAGCAAATCGCAAGCGGTTTGTCAATTCCCGGTTCTCGAGTTTGAGATGGTTCACTTGGTTCCGTAGGTTTTCCAAGTGCTTTTGCTTACGCATGCGGGACCGCCTCGCTGACTCCCGGTTCGATATCATGCGCCTCTGCTTCCGCTCGTCAATAATGGAAACTGCCCGTTTGGGATTCGGTTCGTCCGGGCAAGAGTTCAAGTGGGCAGAGTTTTGGTTCGGATGGTTCGGTTCGTCCGAGCCGGAGCTCGAGAGCACAGGTGCTGGTGATTGGACGGGGGAAAAGAGGTCCGAGTAGTCCCACGATGTGCAACCCCCTCCGAAAGCCAAAAGTGGGTTGCCGCCGAGCATTGACTCAGAGGGAAAGATGGCCGGAATAGTGGACATCATGGGGAAACAGAGGAATTTTTAGCTCAATGATAGGGAAGGAAGGAAGGAAGGAAGGAGGAGAAAAGGGAAGAATTGCAGCATTGGGGGCGAATATTTATGGGCAAATTTGGGGAGGTGTGGGGTATGGGGTGAGGGTGTTGTGGGGTCCAGAGGATGGCCATGAAACATGCACTTCCATACCGTGTGATTGTATATAAACAGAGTATAATATAAGTTATAATTACACAAAAAAATTATAACTTTATAATTTTAATATGTATAATTGATTCATTTAATTTAAAATTTTTTATAAGATTATGTATATTTATTTAATAACATATTAAAATTATAGATTGACAATTTTAATTAGATGAATAAAAATAAAATTTTAATATTAATAATTTTATTTTATAATTTAATATAATTTAAATTATAAAAAAGAGTTCCTTTATAATTATATGATTATCATGTATAAAACGTATATTTGGAGTATAGGTTTACTTTTGACTCAGGTGGCACCATGGTGTGGTTTTTTCTTCTTTATTTTTGCCTTTCTATCAATGCAGTCGGTTTTAATAATTTGTGAAAAAGGAGATGGAGGAGATACATAAGCAGTGGGTCCCAGAAAAAGATTGGCTTGAAGCTTACCCGTGAAGAAACAAAGTTTTGATGGGGATCCATTGTGGACACATGTCATGGTATGGTAGGTTGAGCGTGTGTAAGTCATATTGGTTGTCATAAATCAACTTTTGTATGTAGTATGTGTGGTACAATCAATGATAATTGAATTTATTTTTATATGTTTTGTAGCATATTTTCTTTTGAGTAATTTTAATTAAATAAAAAAATTTAATTATAATTTATTTGTTATATAAGTTGAGTAATCTTTGTACCCATTGAATAATTAAAACTATATATTTATGGTTAAAAAATTTATTTATCATATAAAGATATCAAGGTTTTTTTTTGGCCAACCATATAAAAAG